AACTCAGTGAGAGAAGCAGAGGATAAGACTGGTAGGTGAGCTGATTTAGTGATACCCAGGAAATGTCTTGATTTTATTGATTTATTATTTTTATATTTATTTAGTTTTTTTTTTTTTTTTGAGACAGGGTTTCTCTGTGTAGCCCTGGCTGTCCTAGAACTAGCTCTGTAGACCAGACTGGCCTCGAACTCACAAAGATCCACCTGCCCCTGCCTCCTGGGTGCTGGGACTAATAGGCGTGCGCCACCATGCACAGCCAAGACATGTCTTTAAAATTCACGGCGCCTCATGCTTCCACTTCCTTCAGCACTGCAGTGTGTTTTCCACATTTCCAAACAGGGCATCTCTCCCTGGCTGTGCAGTCTCAAGACCTGCTCTTCTAAAAATCCCCTTTGCTTCCAACAAATTCAGCAGGCTGATCCTGTTTGAAGACAAGGCGATTTCAACTCAGAAGAGTAATTTGCCTCTGTCCTGTCACTGGATGATCTGGCTGAGAATAAAAATCGAAGGTTTAGCTTTCTAGAGCTGGTCATGCAGCAGAGTCCTGAGACCCCAGCACTCAGGAAGTAGGGACAGGAGAATAACAAGTTCAAGGCCAGCTTTAGCACCTTGAGATCCTGTCTCAAACAAACAGAGACTAGGCAGACACTTCTCTAGTTTCTTGCTGTATTTTCACAGTGACTGGCAAGCATTGACACCACCAATAATGACATGTAGACAAGGATTTCCTGGGCCCTTGGATTCCAGACATTGCCAGTTAAAAACACAGATACTGACATCGAACACCATGCATTTGAGGGCACCATGTAGAGAGAGGACCATACTTACCTCAGAGCTTATTATATTATAAATAGACCATAAGAATACAAAAAAACAGAAAATCACAGTTGGTTTTCCCTGATGTGGTGGTGCATACCTTTAATCTCAGCACTCGGGAGGCAAAAGCAGGCAGATGTCTGTGAGCTTGAGGCCTGCCTGGTCTACAAAATGAGTTCCAGGCTAGCCAGAGTTACAGTGAGACCCCGTTTCAAAGAAAGCAAAAACAAAAACAACTATCGTTGGTTTTTATATACACTCGTAGTTACTAAAGTTTGATTGCCTTCACATTATTTAGTACAGTGTGACAAAGATACCGAACTTCAAGGTAGACAACAATTCAATGTTTATGTTTTGTTTTAGACATGGGATCTTACATCCTTGTGCAGGCTAGCCTTGAACTCCTGAGCTGAAGCATCTGCCAGCTCAGGATCCTACAACCCCACTCCCTAGCCCCTGCTGAGGAAGCATCAGCAGTATTATCACCTGCACCTGCTAGACAAGGCCGAAGTTTTTCGAACATCCACAGAATAGGCAGCCAGTCATCCTCCCGGCTCCACAGCCCCGTGGTTCACACTGCTTTCAAACTGTGTTAGCAGTGGTGTCTTGGTTTTAAGGATGCGGTTAGCACTTTGCCTCATCTTCTCAGTGGTGCCCGTCTGTCGCTCTGCTCAGTCCCCAGGTGGACTTTAGCAGGTGACTGTGTGATGCTTGTTTTGGGAAGCAGGATGTCTTACCGTAAGGGGAGGACCCCTGGGTTTACGAAGCTTTTCCACAGCAAACGGAAAATTTAAGTGCGACTCTGAGTTAGTCCGTGCACTTCTGAGCTCCGTTCTGTTACTTATGTGGTGCATGACCTTCAGCAACTTACAGATTTTCCTGTCTCATTTTGATCATTAGTAAAATGGGGTGTATTACACACCTCTATATCACATTCAAGATTAAAATACTACCAGTTGCTTTGGCTGGAAACAACCTAAGTGACCATCGATAGAATGAAATATGCTGTGATCCAGACTAGCTGAGAGAGCCAGGCCATGGTAGCGCACACTTTTGATCCCAGTACTCAGGAGGCAGAGGCAGGCAGATCTCTGTGAGTTCAAGGCCAGCCTGGTCTACAGAGTGAGATCCGGGACTACTACAAAAACCAAACCACACAGACTCGCTGAGATGCTTCACAGCGGGAGGACCTGGAGAGACAGCCCAGCAATTGTTAGCTTTCTGCTCTTGGAGAAGACTAGGATTCCAGTCCCAGCACCACGTGGTGGCTTACTAACACCAGTAACTCCAATTCCAGGGCATCTCATGCTCTTTTATAACCTCCTCAGCCTTCTGTATGCATATGGAGTACATTCATACACTCAGGCACACACGCATGCACGCGCGCACGCGCACGCTCACACACACACACACACACACACACACACACACACATACACACACATGTCAAAAAGAGAGAAAGTGAGAGAGGGCTCCCGAAAGATAAAGTGCATGACACACAGGCCTAATGTGAGTCCTACCCCTGGAACCCACACAGGAGTGGAAAGACTGAACTGTCCCCAGGGAGTTTTCCTCCGACCTCTATACATGTGCACATATACATCACATACAATAGTAATAAAATCAAAATTTAAAAACAACCCACAGAGTGAAAGCTGGACATTGTGGTCCCCATCCTAGTACTCAGAAAGTGGAGGCAGGAGGATCATGAGTTGAGTTCAAGGCCAGCTTTGGCTGCATAGGGTATTCAAGGCCAATGTGGGATACATGAAACCTTTACAGGCTAATTTCAGTCACGTGACTAAACTTCAAGAGCTCAAAGTGTGCAGGTTCTGTTTCCAGGGGGCATTATTACAATGAAATGGAAGAGATGCTGTACATTCAGCCTTCAAAGGTATGAACTCTAAAAGCCAACAAAATCCCAGAATGACAACAAAGAATAAACTTGATCTCCCTGAACCATCAATTCTGCATGGGACAATCTCCCTGGAATGTTGCAAAGTAAGACCATATATGCAATAAAATCTTATTTACTTATTTATTTGAAACATGGTTTCACTGTGTTCCCTGGCTGGCCTGGCACTCATTAGGCCCTGCCTGATTTAGAGATCCACTTGCCTCTGTTCCTGTCTATATATCTATGTACGTATATATCTATCTATCCACCAATCTTTGTGTACCTACTGATGTCTATCATCTATTAATCAATCTATATCTTATTTAGCATCTCTCATCAACCTGTTGATATATATGCATGGATTTGTTCATCGTCTATATATCTACCTCTATATCATTTATATGTATATACATATCTCTGTATCTATCATCTGTCCCTGTCTGTCTATCATATACATATTTATCATCTATCTATGGTTCCAACCATACCTCTATCTTTCTGAGATTTACACTTTTGGGGAATTGATAGAAAGTCTCTTTCTCTTATTTCACACGTCACTTCCAAGTATGCTTCTTGAAATGTTTGAACTGTTATCTGTGTCATAGTCAAGTTTGAAATTATGGCACCAGGCATTCCTGATGTATAGATACTGTAATTACTAAGGAAAGCTTTACAAACAACTGGCCCTTACGTAGGTAGGTACTGAGGGCTAAGGAAGTGATTGGCTTTGGACTGAGGCCTAAATACTCCTGTGTTGATATCTTTGAGTGTAGGAGATGTGACCCTTCCCCTTGTCGGTGGAGCTGTTTTTCAAAATAGAACCTACATAGCTCCTTGCTCGCTGTGAGTCCTCAAAATGCCTGTCTCCTGACTGAAAGGAGTCTGAGTAAAAGCCTCTTAGGAGCGCGCCACAACATGAGGCTCTGTGCCAAGCAAGTTGCATTGACCCTAAACCCACTCTGGACCTTCATGAGTGCCCACTCCTGCTTACCCAGCTGTGGACAGGGGGTGGTGGTAGGGCGGGATGGTGGTGTTTCCTTTACCTTTCCAAACCCAGGAGCTCATCTTCATGATGAGCCTCAGATTCCATTTTGAGTTGAAATACATTTCAACCCATTTCTTCTGTGTGAGTGGATCTCAGGCTTTCGCTGTGAGGTTGTTTCCCCTGACTTAAAATTTCATAGTAAGAGCTAGGTGTGGTGGTGCATGCCTGGAATTATAGCATGGGAGTCAAGGGAGGGGCGGATGCAGGAGAGTCAGGTGTTCAAGTCATCTTCTACACAGTGCATTGGAGAGGCCAGCCTGGGCTACTGGAGACTCCAACTCAAAGGAAAAATAAAGGGAGGGAGGAAGGAAGGGAAGCGGGGAGGGAGAGAGGAAGGGGGAAAGCTGTTTCACAGTGAGAAGATTGGTACCCACGAAAATAACCTCTTCCTCCTGTCTTATTCTACATCACCCAAAACCTTCACACCCACTGACTGATTTGATGATTAGAGGACAACTCTGGAGCTTCTGGAAAGTGTCCAGGAGGCTTTGATTCTTTGCTTCTCTGTCTTTCAGTATGTTTGCAGCAGGCCCAGTGGGGAACGCTCATGATCCCAGCACTTGGGAGATGGAGACAGACATCAGGTTCTGGGTTAGCCTTGGCTACGTTTGGAGTTCAAGGCCAGTTTGGGCTGTACCAGACTCTGTCTCAGAAAGCAAAACAAGGTGGCTAGTAGAGAGAGGCTCACAAGGCCCCACCCTCCCTGAGGGTCTTCAGATTGTTAATGGTTGCCAGGTGAGATATGTGTCATTCATCCTCACAGGACACTGGATGGGAGACTCTGGGGTTTGAATCCAACTTTCCCCAGCCAGGGAGACACAGACGGTATGGTTATACACTCACATGCAAGTGCTCTGTAGCAAAGACTGTAAGAGCCAGAGGGTCAGGGAGTTTGCTGTGAGGTTACGTCTCCTAGTAGATTAAGAAGTTACATCCATAAAGTTTCACCAACATGGCTGCCGAAACATGAACTAAACAAAGAGGACACCAATGGACACGCCAAACAGAAAAGGGAAAAAACGCCCATGGGTCTTCACCTCCACACGCTGGGAGCAGGAGAGGTGGTCCTCCCTAGGGAAGAGCACAGCAACTGATTGTCGGATTGCCAGTCAGCCCTGAGCACACATGAGTGTAATTAGATAGACTCAACCGTCATATTTGGGAACGTATGTGTATATACTTACAACAACTAACAGTGAGACAAGAGGCCATGAATGTAAAGAGAGAGGAGAGCGACCTAGGGAGGGATTACAGGAGAAATGTAATTGCATTATCTCAAAAATGCTATGTAACAAGTCGATTACTTGCTTTTCTGATTTGATTCCTAAAATTAACTTAGGAAGATTATAAAGGAGTCAGAAGGAAATTGGCAAGATTTGTGCCACAGACCGACTGCTGAGGACTGGCTTTTGGAAGCCAGGGAAGGCCCGCCTGAGGGTTCTCAGATCGTCATGAACACAAACCGAAGAGAAGGTTTTGTTGTGTTATCTAGACCCAGAACCAGCTGCCCTGGATTTCCTTTGTTTCTTGTCCTTCCCTGGGGGAGGAAGTTCTGATTAAAGAAAGCAGGGTCCAGCATGCTAGACAAGTGCTCTACCAGAGATGCGCCCCTCGTGTCTGTGTCCTATGGGTTTTTGTTTTTGTTTTGTTTTTCAAGACAGGGTTTCTCTGTGTGGCTTTGGTGCCTGTCCTGGATCTCTCTCTGTAGCCCAGGCTGGCCTCGAACTCCCAGAGATCCACCTGGCTCTGCCTCCCGAGTGCTGGGACTAAAGGCGTGCACCACCACGGCCCGGCTATGTCCTATGTTTTAAGATAAAGATGCTAGATAAAATATAATGAATAAACATAGGAGAGAAGGTCGAGAGGGAGAAACAAAGGAGAGAGGGCAGGGTGATGAAAAGAGAAGACATGGCTGGACAGATGGCTCAGAAGTTAAGAGCACTGGCTGCTCTTCCAGAGGACCCGGGTTCAATTCCCAGCACCCACATGGCAGTTCACAACTGTCTGTAACTCCAGCTCCAGGGGATCTGACACTTTCACATGGACGTACATGAAGAATGTATGCACCTAAAATAAGAATAAATGAATCATTAGAAAGAAAAAAGACAGGAGGAAAGAGAGGGCAGAGAAAAGAGAAGGAAGCAATGACGGGAAGGAGGGAAGACAGAAGGGGAGAGCCTGAAAGGGAAAGAGAGCAAAAGGACGAGAAAACATTTGGAACAACAGCCAACCAGGAGACAGGGACAGAGTGCACGCGGTTACCAACAGAGCAAGGGACTTCAGAACTTCAGGAACAGCTGCACAAATACCCCCGTGAACACCAGAGCATTGTTTCAGTGCTGAGATGGAACCCAGGCTTGACCGCCAACCCGAGAGTCTTTACGTTTTTCAGTTCTTGTTTTGCATGTGGGGAGACAGCAGGAGTTTGGATCCAGGGCCTGATCGCCCACTTTCACGTCCTCTGAATATCTTCAGCCCAATGTCACATTTTCTTAGCCAAGTCTAAACGCTGAAAAGGTCCAAGGGCTTGGGAAAACAGAGGGATGGCTCAGCGCTTGCTCCACAAGCTGGAAGGACTGAGTTCGGATCTCCAGCACCCATGTGACAAAGAAGACGACTGTAGTCGAGCAAGCCTGGGAGGCTGAGATGAGAAGATCCTTGGGTCTCAGTCAAACCTAAATGGGTGAGCTCCAGGTTCACTGTGAGACCCTGTCTCAAGAAATAATGTTGAGAGTAAGAAAGGAAGACTCCCAACATTGACCTCTGACCTCCATACATGCGTGCACACACGTTTACATCACACACATACATGCATTGTTTTTTTCTGTTTTTGAAAGTTCACACAGGCCTGTGATCCCAGCACTGAGAAGGCAGAAGCGGGAAGGCTGGGTGGAGCCCAAGGTCAGCTTGGCTATAGATGGAGACCTTATCTCAGATAGACAAAAAAGCGCGCCTGAGGCTAGGCACGGCGGTACAAGCCTGTAATCCCAGCACTTGGTAGGTGGAGGCAGAAAGGTAAGCCTGGACTGTATACAGTAAGGAGCCAACCTGGGCTACTCAAATTCTGTGTCTATCTGACCACCCTGGAAGAAAACAGCAACAACAACAAAAACAAGAAGAAAAGCAAACAAACAAAAAACTAAGAAGAATCAAACGTGGCTATCACTTTGTGTGTCTTGATTTTTATGTTTAGAAAGAGCGAAATAAACACAAGTAAATAAAATCTTTTATGTCCCCTATGAAATTATCCCCTCCACCTTTGAGGCAAGGTTTCACTACGTAGCCCTGGCTGTCCTGGCATTGATTTGTGGACCAGGATGGCTCTGAACTCACACTGTCCCAAGAGATAGGTTAAAAGTACCCTGACACCATGCAGGGCAGTGCACACTTTTTAAAAATAAAATCCTAAGAAGATTCTCCCATTGTGCTGTAAGCCTGTATTTAAGACCTCCTCCCTCCTTCAATGAATGGCATTTGGCATTAAAAAAAATCCTAAGAAGAACAAAGGTAATATAATTTCTCTCTTCAATCTTGCCAAGATATTAAAAGACAGCGGTCCATAAAAACTAAAGGGCTGGTCACAACTCAGTGGATGAGGCCTTGGCTTTGGTTTGCAGCACCAAACTGAACCAGAAGCCTGTAAAACAGCCTCAGGAAGGTCAGAAGCTAAGCTTTGGCTAAGTAGTGAGTTGTTGATACACAGAAAGTTCTAGGTCAGTCCTGGGATACATGAGACCTTGTCTTAAAAAAAGAACAAAACAAAACAAAAACCCTCCAAGGGCACAGAGGTAGAGTGCTTGAGGAGCCTGGTCCAGGCCTGGCTTTGATCAGACGGGGGAGGAATCCACACAGTGATTTCATTACACAAAGCTGTCTTGAGTTCTAGAATTTAAAATCATATACAACTCACAGAGGTAGGCAGATTTCTGGGTATTTGAGGGCAGCGTGGTCTATATAGTAAGTTCCAGGCCAGTAAGGGATACATAGTGAGAGTATGTCTTCATCAATCAATCAATCAATAAAAATATCTAATTAGAAATCATGTGCAGCCAGTTCTGGTGGTGCATACCTTTAATCCCAGCACTCAGGAGGCAAAGGCAGGAGGATCTCTGTGAGTTCGAGGTCAGCCTGATCTACAGAGTGAGTTCCAGGACAGCTAGGGTTACACAGAAAAACCCTGTGTTGAAAATACAACAACAAAAAACTTTACTATTCTATAATACAAAAAGTTGACAGTAAGAAAGAAAACACAGACCATTAAAGTCCATTTTGTGTGTGTATTAGTCTTGAACTACATGGTCTACATTGGGTTGATAGTGAGGAACAGAAAACACAAACCATTAAAAGCCCGTTTTGTGTATGTATTAGTCTTGAACTACATGGTCTACATTGTAGGCTGCTTCCCCCATGGAGTGCTTGTTCGGCATGCACGAAGAAGCCCCAGCTCGACCACTAGCCCTGCTGAACCAAGTGTGGGGACAAATGCCAGCATCCCAAAGCTTGAGTAGAGGGTTGGGAGTCCAGGGTCGTCTTTCGTTACATAGTAAGCTCAAAGTCAACCTGGACTACATGAGACTGTCTACAAATGACAATAAAAATACATTCAAAAATAATCATCTAAGTAAGTAGATGCCCTAGTATATCAAGACCTGCAATTACAAGTCAAGATTCATGTTGGGGTTTTCGTAAATGTTGGCCTCAAACAAAGCTAGAAGTCGAAAGGTATTGGAAGACCAGCAAGATGGCGCGGTAAGGGCTGCTGTCAAGTCTCAGAGCCTAAACTCAATTCCTGGGATCCACGAGGCGGGGAGAGGAGAAACCACTGCCCTAAGTTGTTCTGTAACTTCCATAGGCTCCATGGTATGAGCTTGCCCAAAAACTTGCATTTGTATGTGCGCAGGCACACGTGCGCATGCATGCATGCATGCATGCATGCATACACATTTTTAACTTAAATGTAAAAAACATTAAAGTAGTCTGTAATAGTACATTCCATAAAAACAAAATAAAACACCTTTTTTGTTGTTTTGAGATGGGGTGTGTGTGGGTAGTGGTGGTGGTGGGTGGTGGTGGTGGTGGTGTTTACTATGTAAATTGGCTACCCTGGAACTCACCTCATAGACCAGACTGGCCTTGAGCTCACTGAGATCGGCCTGCCCTCCACCTCTGGAGTACTGTGAGTCAAGGAGTGCACCACCATACTAGGACTCCATAAAAAACAAACAAACAAACAAAAATTTAAATAATAATTGTACTTAATTATCCTGTTTATATCATTTCACCCCACATCTGAGTACAGGCCCTCCCTTGGCCAATCTGTCTGCCTACAGATCCACAGCCCGAAGGAGGTCATCTCCTGTTAGACTTCTACGGTGCTGGCAGACAGTGTCATCACTGGGACGTGCTTAAGACAAAGAAGGGCATCTTGAGCATTAAGAGGGAAAGCAAGGGTGCTCTGGACTAAGAGGGAAGCTCTGAATCCATCTAAGATTGATCACTATTCTCCTAGTTAATCTGTTGTCATGTCTAAATTTGTTTCCTCGAGTAGAAAATAATCTACACTTCCAACTAAGTTATTCATGGTCCAGTTTGTTCTCAGAATACTATAATAGGCTTTGTGGAGATAACTTTTATAATAGGGATTTAATGGAGTGAGAAGACGAGAAGTCCCAGGCTCGGAGCATGAGCATTTGTACAGAGCACCTCCCCACCCTACCCGCAGCCTGTATCCCAAAGGATATTCAGCCTTAGTTAGAATCTAATTTTCACAAAAGAACTCAATGGAAAGGCATGGCAGCCGCTTCCTATGGGGAGGGGGCTTACCATGTGCAGAGCTGGCCAAGGCAAAATAGCAAGTAGGGATGAGGACAGAGCTCAGCAGGGGTCAAGGCAGAGCCCCTCAGTGCTTCTTCCAGTGCGGGCCAGGCCCCCCTGCTCTCCCAGGGAAAGTGAAATTTGAGTGGTGCACTCTGGGAAAAAAATGTGTGTGTGTGTGTGTGTGTGTGTGTGTGTGTGTGTGTGTGTGTGTGTGTGAGAGAGAGAGAGAGA